ATTATTAAAAAAAATTTGATAGAAAATATGGAATTAACAATTGTGAAAGAAATGGAAACATTTCTATAAGGCTATCTCATACATACACACATACATAAATTTATTTTCTGCTTTCTAGTAGTGGAGTCTGGAGATGACATGCAAACAGGGCACTGTGCAAGGCAAAGAAGGAAGGGCAGGTCATCAGCCTCAGACCTCAGGTGGCTGAAGGAGAGAATGTCTTTGGTGCTTGCTACATTTTTGTGTCCTTCAATGACACTTTTTTGTTCATGTCACTGCTGTCTCTGGCAAGGAAACCATCTGCCGTGTGACTGGTGGTATGAAGGTGAAGGCTGACTGAGATGAATCCTGACCATACGCTGCCATGGTGGCTGCCCAGGCTGTGGCACAGAGGTAGAAGGAGCTGGACATCACTGCTTTACACATTAAACTCCATGCTATCGGAGGAAATCAAACTAAGACCCCTGGACCACAGGTCCAATCTGCCCTCAGAGCCCTTGCCCATTCAGGAATGAAGATTGGACAGATTGAGGATGTCACCCCACCCCTCCCGACAGCACAGGAAGGGAGGATGCTGTCTGTGAATAGGACTCATCAAATGATTGATTTCTCCTAATAAAATGCCTCTGTGTGTGTGTGTGTATATATATATATGATCCTTAATAGCTTCATAGGAAAAAAGCAGATAAAATTTTAACTATATAAGAACTTTTTAAGAATTCCCAGTGAATTTTACAAAATCAGTAAAGTCATATAAAAAAGAAACAAAACAATCTTTACCAGAAAATCTTTCAGAAAGCATTAGCAAGTACTCAGCATATTAAAAATAAAAATAACCTAACATATTCACATAAAGTTTATTCTAGAATAAAACCAAGAAATCTATTCCAGCTACTCATGTTAACAAGTACACAGAAAACAAAAGAAAAGGGTGATAATTTAAAACCTGCCTAGGGATGCTGTAACATTTAGTACGTCACCATTTTTAAAGGATATGTAGTAAGTTAAGAAGAGAGAGCCTTTCCATAACCATATGAAAAACAAAAGCTCCTATTAGTCCCTGGCATAACAATAAAGACTATTTAAAGTACAAGAGATTTCTCTTGAGATGCTCACAAAGCAAGAGAATCATTATGGATCAGAAAAAGGGAGGAACTCAACTTGTCTGGTGTAACCTCACCAGTAGCGCTGCTAAGTGCCTGAGTAGCAGCAACTCTCAATCTTTTTTATCTCAATACTATTTAAAAATTACTGAGAACCCCAAAGAACTTTGTTTCTGTAGATTATGCCAACTGACTCTTACCATATTCAAAATTAAAACATAACTATTACAAACATTAGCTCATTTAAAATAGGGAGCTCTGGTTCCTAGTGATAAGGCAATGAATTACCAACCCAAAAGCACACGGTTAGAACCCTCCAGCCCCTGCGAGAGAGAAAGATGAGCGATCTCCTCCCACGCAGTTCACAACCTCTGAAAACCTAACAAAAGAAAGCAATCTGAAAGGACTTAATACCTGCTTTATGTTGTTGTGTACCACTGAGCTGGACTGACCCACACCTGACCCTCCAGTGGGTTTTCTGACACTATAAATCACATGGGAGGAGACGGAGGACTTACACCTACTTTAAAACAGATTTCATCTGTTAGAGATTTCTGCACAGGGCTTCGAACTGATTCAAAATCCTGGAATGGGAGAACTGGAAGAGGTAAAGGCCCTTTCAGGAACCTGGTACCCAAGACTAGATTACCGGCTGGACTGTGGAGAGTCAATGCTCATTTGGCCACCATCTTTGAGCAGGCACCACTGTTTCCAATGCAAAATCCAAGTGGCAAAAGACATGTTGCAATATGCATATATTAGCAATATGCATGCTACCTTTTTTCTGAAGTGAGATTGATTAAATTGATAGCAGGGTGCCTACCGTATTTGTGGGGTGTTTTTCCCCCCAATAAATCTCTTTAATATCCATTAACAGAGTTAGAGACTTTTCTTTCCAACAGAAGAAAGACTAATAAGCCTAGCTTTTCACCTTGTGGACTTCCTTGTCACCACATTCCCTGTGTTGGTTCAGTAATGGAATGTATTGTCCCTTCTCTGCAATTTCGTCACATATGAGATTGTTCACAGCTTTAGTTAGTTGGCACCAACAGCCAGGAAATTAAAAGATGTATTGCAATGGTAAAGTCTGCTGTTAGGGACCTCTCCAAAGTGCTGAAGAGCAATGGTGTCACTCTGGAGACTAAGGTGCGTCTGATACAGGCCATGGTCTTTGTAATCACTTGTTATACGTCAGAGAGTTGGAACAATGACTAGGAAGGATAGAAGGAGAATAGATGCCTTTGAGCTGTGGTGCTGGAGAAGAATACTGAGTGTACCAAGAGCTGCTAAGAAAACAAACTGGAGAGGGTTAAACTGGACTGCTCCCTGGAGGCAAGGATCCTACATAATTTGGACATGTTGTAAGGAGGGACCAGTCCTTGGAGAGGGATATCAAGCTTGGGAGGGTGGAGGGACAGCACAGGAGGGGAAGACTCTGTGAGGTGGATTGATTCAGTGACTGGGGTAATCAGGGTAGATGTATCCGGAGACAGTGCGATTGGCACAGGATAGAGCAAGGTTTAGGGCTGTTGTACAAAGGGTCGCTATAAGTCGCAAGCGACTCGACAGCACATAACAACAACAACAACATCATCATCATCCTGTCTTTGGCCAACGATCTACCATAGAAACCTGTTTCGCTTGTTTATATTCAATCTCATCCTGATATTCTGCTTGTTGAAATCGGTACAGATTTTCAATCTCTTCTGACCACTTTTTGGCCCATTTTACTGATTTGGTTTTTCATCACAACAAGCCATGGCTGCAGAAAAGTCTTTTTATTTGTGATTTTTCTCTCCCCTTTCTTGCTACTGGGATATAATGGTTTCTCCTTTTCCCATCTCTTAATTGCTCAAAGACACTCAAATCACTGCAATCCATTTACTCAGGTCATTGTGGTACACAATCCTGCCAAGACAGGCAGCGCCTAAGAGCAAGGACAGCAGTGGCAGGTCTCATGTTTTCTTTTTTTTCTTAAAGATTACTGTTGCTGTTGTTGTTGTTATGTGCCTCTAGTCAGAATCGACTCATAGCAGGATGACAGAAGCTGAGAATGCAGAAGCCAGAGAGTCAGCATCCAATTCCCAAATCAATAAGACAGTTAGTTTAATTACCATTGGAAAATGCTTGTCATTCCTCTGTAGCATCTGGTCCCCACTGGACCCTCATCATTTCCTTCGCCTGCTCCCCCCACCGACCAAACTGTGCAGCTCTGCAGCTGCATCCTGGCCCATCCTCACCCTTCTGCCCCCAAACCTCATCTCCTTGTACCCCCAATATGTTTTTCCCAATTAAAAAAAAAAGAAAAGAAAACTGAAGAAGCTGAGATTGCCCTTCTTTCTCCCACAGAGAAACTGGTAGATTTGAACCGAGTGCCTTGGGTTTACCAGTACAACTTCTTACCACTACATCATGAGAGCTCTCTCTATATTTTTGTATTTGATGATTATTCTGGCTCACCCAACTGTTTAAATATTTGGGTCTGTTAGTTACACTTCTCTGGTCATGACTGAGCTGGGAAGAACCAGTAGAGAGACCTGTTTCTATGTTATAAAAATAGTCAAAACAAGCACATATTACTTTTGGAACTAATAAAAATTCATTATGGGAAACAAAATGGTTTTTATAAACAAGGAGCTGAGTTTAGCAACTTCTTGAGACTATTTCCTTAGGGAAGAAGTTAGGGCTTTGATATTTCAGTACTATCTACTCCTGAGACCTGTTTTCACAGTAAAGACCGTGTCAGGGGGCTACTGAGGTCTCCCCAGACAACCCTCAGATCACTGTTGGCAGCCTCTTAACATGGTTCCCCAAGCACCCACCCCCCAGGGACCCTGCTCAGTACATGGGCAAAACAGGCAGTGTGGGGTGCTACGGGTATGCTACCCTTGGGCTACAGACAAAGACAATGTCATTATCATCCAAAACAAGGTCATGACTTACTCTGCAGCCACTTCTCACGTCGCAGCTTCTGCTTTTCCTTCTTGGGCAAAATATTTTTTGTCTCTGTATCTGAGGATAGAGAACATAGAGAGGTAAATGAGGCATTCTCAGAATAGGAGTATGCATCTCCTACCCCTTCAGGGAACCTGGGAAGTAGGTAGAGCCACATCACACTGAGGGATGCCATCCAGTGTCAGGGTACTAGTGATGCACGTGGGTCAATATGCTGGACTCCTTCCTCCCTGATATTAGTATCCTTCCAAAGCAAAGTCCTCACTACCAACCCCTAGACATGCCCAGAACTCCTGAGGCATGTGTTTACCAACAGAGAGGCCTAAGGTTAAGCTCACCCAACCCAGGACAGCCTGGGCACAGGCCTCCATGTCACTAAAGAGGCAAGAAAAGGTTAGACTCCTTACAAAGCCACTTGGACTATAGAGAATGGGAGAAGCGAGTCAGCCACAGCAGCTCAATGTCCTGGGGACTGCTCTGAGTCTGTATGTCCTCTAAACTAGGCCCGTCTCCCTGGCCTAATCTCTAGTCCCTGTGATGCTTCAAGAGCACACACTTGGAGTGCCTTAAACTAAAGCAGGGACATTGATTGCCAGAGTATTCACGGGCAGCCTCTGAGAAATAGAGTTCTGGAGACTGTCATGTGTCTGCTGGACACTTCCAAGGACCAGGAAACCTCCTTTCTGACCTGTGCCGACCAGCCTAGCTAAATACAGGGGGCATCAAAAGCAAGAACACATTTCAACTCTCATGCAGCACCTGGGATCCCTGCAGTGGTCCAGGCTAACCATTCACCACCTCATGCCCCACCTCTGTGCTGCAAGACCTCTCGGATCTTCTTCCTCCACTGGCAAAAGAAGACTCAATCGGCATGCACTACAGTACTTCAGCTTTGGCACCCAGCAGCCATGCCTGGCTTACCCTGAGCCTGCGGCCCATCATTCACTAGGGCAGTCACTGGGGCCTTGGGACAGCATTTTTCACAACTGTTCTGCCCTGAGCCAGATGAGTCCTAGATTAGAAGTGGCCTTCTGAAGCCCATGGTGGCATTTTGGAGGGGACATCTATATTCTTAGCAGGTGGCAGCTCTAGAACTGGACATGAGAATTAAACTGGAGAAAGAAGTTTATGTATCCTGACAGCCCAACAAAGCTGTCACACACCAGGGCTCCGTCTCAAAATAACAGCAGCTCATTCCTTGAGAGCATAAAATTACAAGCACATCAAACAGGGAAAGCACCCCGCCTTGGTTCCCAGGGGGAATGAGATCATGTGATGGTGCCACAAAACCTATCTGTTCCCTGCCACGCTCAACCCCCCAGGATGATGCATCACACCCCATTCCTTATACAGCAGAACCCCATGTTGGTTCCAACCTCCCAATGGGAGCACATTATGGGGCCCCACAGGTCTGTTCACTGAGGAGTGACAGAAGGCAGGTCTAGTAAATTCAATGTTACTAGCACTTACTGGGTTTCAGTCAGGAGCCTTTTTAAATGGCCTCATTCTACATATGAACAAACAGACTTGGCAGGACGATTAACTCTCACAAGACTTTCTGTAGGCAGGACAAGAATATCACCAACAGTGGGGTCCCTGAGGTTCCCCACAGCGGGGTCAGGCTTTGCTACACCGCACACAGAGGAAGGTATTAGGAAAACTTGGTCTGCAAGTTTAGTTATCAAAATAAGCCATCAATCAAAGAGAGGCTAGCCTCACCCCTCTGGAATCCCTGTGAGGGAATTGGTCAGGATATGCGAAGAAACACAATGGGGCTGAGTGTGCAGTGTCTCCTGAGCTTATTCGGTTTTCTTTCTGGGGACAGGAATGCAGTTCCTGGTGGCAGTAAGGACCCATTCTCAATGTCACTATCCACCAAGAATGGGTCACTATCAGGGCTGTGAATAAGGGACTGCAGTTCAACGAGCCAAAAGCCTGGCAGCAGAGACTGCTGGGCACCAGGAGATGCCCGTTGTCCCACAGATTGCTTTGAAGACAGGGCTAATAATCTCCTAGGCATCAGTTGTTTGGTGGAAAGTGTGGTATGTATCAGAGACAGCACAGGATACATTCTCCTAAGAATGTTTTATAAGAGATGTGCTGCTTTCTCCTAGTTTACTTTCCTTTATAGCAATTATCCTGGCTAATAATAAAAAGTGCCATGTTTTCTAAAGGCAAACAGTAGACACAAGTTCTGTTGAGAGAGGTACTATTCCTTTAAGCTACTGCAGAGCTTTTTTTACTTCAGGAAATAGTACAAAAGTTTATGCATCCCAAGGGAGTTTCATCCCTCCTCAACAGAGTTCTTCCGCATTTGTAGAATCCTAAGCTAGCATACCTGAAGGGGACCCACCTTTCTCTTCACTCATCCCAAACTCTGCAGAGGGCCCCCAGCTCTCCATGTTGCTGGCTGAGTGGGAGGGAACAGAAGGGGCTGCATGGCCAAGCAGGCCAGGGAAGGTGCCTAGAACTACCCTGCTTGGCAGGTCTGGAAGACCAGCCTGGCCATAGCACCCCTCAGAGCAGCACCCCTCAGAGCAGCACCTCCTGCACAAGCTTCCTCCTGCACACTGCCTGCCCAACACATCCCTCAACACACCACGGTGCACCATCTGTTGATGCACCCCCAACACATCTCAGCACACCACCTCTTTAACATTCTCCTAATACTGCTGCCTTCAGTGCAGTGCCGAAAATGTCTTTTTCTGTGTGATAGTCACTTTCTATGATCAGGTCATTCAGGCTGAACTTCTCTTCACCCAGCAACTGGACAAATCCGAACCCAGACTGCATGCTTTCCCCAATACGTCAGTGGTCTGAATCACAGAAAAGAGTAAAGAATACCCTTTGCCCTATTCCTCCAAAGTTCTCCAAGGTGAATGGTGGGCTTGTCAACCTGAAGACTTTCAGGCCACCATGTGAATGAAGACTCTCAAAAAAAAATCTGTTGGAGCCGATTGCTGAAATCCAAGTGTGAATACTGGATGTGCCAGTGGTGTGTCCACCACTTGGTCGCCTCAAAAGATGCTGGCTCAGCTGTTTTGAGAGGGATGGTGACATGACTTTGGAGATTTGATCCTAGGTAGGCAGACCACCCAGCCTGTCTGGGACTCAGGTTTTTCAGTTGTAAAAAGATCTGCTTTTCATTTTTGTCATGGAAATTCTATGTAACAGAAATGAGGGAGGGGGAAATAGCCCAGTTAAAGTCACTATCCTCACTGATCTGCCAAGTACTCCTAATAGCTAGATGTGGGTTTAAAAGTGTTGGCTGCTGGAGAAGGATGTAGTTAATGGACTCCTGTGTGATTCTGTTCTAATGGAACCATAACAGGGAAGAAAACCAGTATGTAATTGACTTTTCTGTAAATACCATCAGGGAGCTGAGCTTTTCCCTTCATCCTGAAAGCCCTACATACTGTGTTAGCATAGCTAATAAGAGGTAACTGCAGGTTACATAAGGGCTTAATACAAACTTATAAAAGGTAGGTGACAAAATCACAGCAGCCTCACACTCTCATCATGACATGCTTGTCCTTGTCAACATAACCTGAAAAGCAGTTATGAGACAGGCCACTTGGTAAAAACACAAAGGTGGAACCCTCCACTTTGCTTTGTATACCAAAATAAGGTTCGGAAGAATTACATACATAAAGAGAAAATGAAACTACCAAGTAAGGAAAAGATTACAAAACTAAGTAAACATCAAAAAATATATAAAATTTAATGCTTTTTGTAGAGAAAAGAAACACTCTCAAAAAGAACCACCAACAAGGGGAAACACCTGCAGCCCACAGAACAGAAAACTATGGGCTTTCTTCTTATACAAAGAGCTCTTTTAAGCCAAGAAAAGATAACCTATAAGACTGGAAAAGGGTTCAGAGGGGCAACATACAGGGAAGCCACAGAGAAGTGAACCCTTCACATACTAGATTCCATGCTCTGTTTACACCAATAGGAGACCCTCTGGGAGGCAACACAGCCAGGTGCATGGCTGGCTGCATTCCCACAGGCAATCAGAAACAATCTGGAAACCTAGCCTACTGGCATATTAAACGTACATCTGACTCAGCACCCTCACCACCACACCTCACCTCACCTCACCTCACCTCACCTCATCCATTTACATACTCAGAGATGTGCCCACAGAAGCCATCCCTGCCATACAAATGAAATCTGACAGCTTTTAAAAGTGACAGGTCACTGAGCCAGTAATATTAAATGGACAGGGAACCCCTTACCCGGCTATGCGAGGACTAAGGGACAGAACCAGCAAGGTCTGCACAGGGCTGTCCTAGGCAGTGGTCTACACTATCCATTTCTCATGGCATCTTGGTCACATCTCCCAACTGAGTAGTGAGAAGTAGTGATCATGAGACCTGGGAAGATGGTGTAGCTTTCCCTACAGGCTGTCATGGGCGAGTACCACTAATGTGCATTTCTGAAGGGGCTGCATGTCACCATCACCAGGCCTGCACAGATAACCCCCTCGTGGAAGGTGCTCAATGCTGACACCTTCCGTTTGTCCAGAGAGAAGGAAAGGAGATATATGTGTTGGAGTTGGTTGGTTTTTTTTTTTGGGGGGGGGCAGGGGGTGGTTGAGAGGGTTGGTCCACAAGATACATTCTGATTTACAGTAGGTGTGGACAGGGCTCCCTCAAGAGAACACTTCTGAGTGGGGCCTGGACACTCACCAGCTGGGCAAGTGAACTGAGAAGAATCAAACAGACCTGCTTGTGATGCCTCTAGAGGCCTGAGGGCATGGTCCCAGGCCCCCTCTCCACAGCACCTGCTGAGCTGGCAGTGAACAATCAGTGAGGCTCCAGTGTGATGCCCAACAGCCACCACTGTTACCGCCACCCCACAGTGGGCTAAATGCAGCTACCAACTCAACCCAGAAAACTCAAAACTCACTGACTCAAGTCAGTTCTGACTCATAATAACCCTCCACTGGACTTCTGAACCTGTAAATCTTAATGGAGAGACATTGCCCTTCTTTCTTTCGTGAAGTGTGTCTAGAAGAATCACACCATGTCAGTTAAAAATGTACTATT